AACTTATGTATATGTAGGTATATGTGTATATGTATTAATATAAGGGTAAGGTTAAGTAACTTAAGGCTTAAAAGCTTATGGTTGTTGGGATATGACCCTTAGTGACACCCCCTATCAGGTATTAGCCCTTTACCACTAAAATTTTAATATATAGTACTTGTGGTCTATAATTTTTCGGTTCTGTCTAGTCAACAAAACTTTTGACTATCTACATAGGTGTGTATGTAGAGATATATACATATATATATAATTATTCTTGAAGATTATTCACTTTCTCTTACACCTTGATTTCCTTATTGATCAGCATTATGTTTTTTGTGAATATCAGCAGCTCGTGTGTTGAAAATATATATATATATATTTGCATATTCTACAGTTTTAAATCAGACTATAGTTTACTATATATAAAATATAATCTTAATCCTAATAATTTAATTAAAAAAACTAATAAGAAATCCCACTTGTTGTCTTGCTGGGAATTTCCTTGTTTTTTTTTTTTTGGCCTGGCCAGGTTACACAAGAACCTTCCCAAGAAAAGGGAAATTGGGAATCTCCCACTAGCCTCTCATCCTTCCAAGGAATATCGTGCCAACCTGTGCCGGTCAGTCCCAGTCCCATATCCCGTATATATCCCAACATGTGTTGTCCAAAGGGCCGAGGCTTTAAAAATGGGGCTTTCCCGGCCCGAACCAGACACACATGTGTCTCTGAAACTGAGGCAGTGGTGATATGATGATGTCCTCACCACCTCTCCCATATATGATATGACTATGCCTCTTGTGCCTTCAACTTTGGCTTACCAAATCGGTGTGTTTTGGATTTCCCGACGGATTAAGCAACTTAGTGCACAATCTGTATACCTTATACCTTCTAGTTCCGACTGAGAGGAGGTCACGGCAGTTCAGGCCGTACGGCCAGACCGCAACTCACCCACCATCCATCCGACCTGGCTTAAGATACTTTATTAGGGGGCAAATAATAGCGTAATCTGTAAATTTTTGTTGTGAACCTGCCAGAGTCGTAAATGAGAACTACCTGCTGGCCCTTTATTTAGCATTATGGAATTTACATAATTAATTTATTATTAAATTTATTTAACAAATATTTATAAAGATACTTAATACTAAAAAGGCTTATCTTTAATATCTTCCTCCTCTTTAGGATCTTCAAGTGTTGAAAAGACACATATCACCCAACACCTGATAAAGTTTGATTTATTTTCCCCCAAAAAAACAATCCATTGGATTGAATTTAAAATAACTATATGGCTATGGATATGGATATGGCTATATATCTGATCGATTTATGGATAGGTGGGCTACTATGCGCCGGTCTATTGATTCCCTATGCCTAGCGCGTACTCTGCCCAAAACTGTAGATATCAAAATATCCATATAAATGCATAGATAAGCCAATAGATAGATAGATAGAAAGATAGCAAGATAGATGGAAGAAGAACGAAGGGTGCGTGACTAATGAGGTTTAAGCCTTCGATGACTCCGACAGAATCACCAAACATATAGTAATATGTGCTATTGGTACTATATGTGTGTCTCTGATTTCCGATAACCTAGACAGCCACTGGCTACCGGTACGGTACCGGATATGGAAACAATTATTCAGTTTCAGTTTTGTCGCCCAAAAAAAATCATGATTATATCGCGACGATGATGGACAGTTCTTTTTCGATTTTGGAAAAATCAAGATCTACCTGTGAGGGTTTATAAATGATGGAGTTCTTCTAGCAGGAGCTATGAGATATATCAGAACTAAATATATTCCAAAGATACTCTTTTGAAAAATATCCTCAAGGAGGTGATCATAATTTTAAAATAATAATACTGGTAAGGGTTTTTATACCAAGTACCCTCCCCAAAAGTCCTTTAGTTATATAGGAGCTATCAGATATATCAGAATTTGTACATAATCCTGAGAACTAGTTATTTCAAAAAATACTTTTTTGAAAAATAACCTCAAGAAGGTGATTTTGATTAAGAATATAACTAATTTAAAGGGTTTTTATTCCAAGTATCCTCCCCAAAAGTCCTTTAGTTATATAGAAGCTATGAGATATATTAAAATTTGTACATAATCCTAGTTATTTTAAAAAATTTGAAATAATCTCTTTTGAAAAATAACCTCGAGGTGATCATGATTAAAAATAAAGGGTTCTGGTACAAAGAACCCTTCTCAATAGTAGATACATCTAGTGAAACCTCTATCCCTAGGCCCTCTATTTTGAACCTAAAATTATAAATCGCGGAAGTAAAGATCCCTTAGAAAAATAGGGAAGTTTGAAATCGGATACAAAAAACACATCCCATACCATTGAGAAATTCCAAGTGCTGGAACGTCTGGATGGGATCGCTTGGGGGTACCAAGATATACATACATACATACATATGTATGTGTCTGGATATAGTATTTCTTGGGAGAGAAGAAAAATAAACTTAATGGTCAGCCATACATAGCTATAGCTCCAGATACTTTTGGATTTTGTTTACAATTTTTCGATGCATTTTTGATCTGAAGTTTTGGTGAAGTTGGGGATACAAATATGTATCTGGAGGATAAAAACTTCAAGTTCTTATAGAAGAATCCTATAGAAAAGGTTCTCATAGAACGTTGTATCTGTGATTTTTGTTTTGTTCGATTTTGTATGGAGCGTCGATCTGGGATACTTACAATTCACTCTCTTCACTCACAAAAATCTTACAGATATATCTACATATATATGTATGTATGTATGTATAAAAAGTCTTATGTACATGTATGTATGTATTGTGGAATCGGGACTCCGTGTCAGCACGGAGGAACAATAAAAAAAAAAAAAAAAAAAAAACACTGCTCGGCACAGCAACAACAATACATTCGTGTCACAGACAAGATAAACGGAACGGACCCAAAGTGTACACATTGGCACACACACACATACTCATACAGCTATATACTGCAGTGTACCTATATATATATGTATGTACAAAATCTTAGGGACCCTAAGATACAGCAAAGGTGAGTAAAATATTTTATTTCGAATATTAAGTCTTATAAAATATTATATTAATTATATAAGAATTATGCATTATTATTAACATTATTATTATTGCCATAAGATATTCTTCCAAGCCCTATAATTGTGACCGCGACTGTATGGGCCCAGCCAGTCACCTTATAAAGGAAAAATACAAAAAAAAAGTCGACGGCAGAGCGGCAGAAAGTCGCTGCCAGTCGCTGCCGACAGCGACAGCGGCAGAGCGGCGACTGAGTCAGGCCAGACAGTCTGTCGCCAGAAAAATCCGCACTCACACATGCACAGGTGAAGTGAGAAAAGAAGGTGTGAAGGGGTGCAAAATGGGTGTGGGTAGAGCCACAACCGGACTCGTTGCTCACTGTTTTTTTTTTTTTTTTTTTTTTTTTGTATCTTGGCTGAGAAATCTCCCCGAAAAGCTAACCATAAAGGAAAGAAAACTTAGACTCATATAATATGCACTGATATATAATATTTAGATGAAACATTAAAATTTGATAGATCGTTTAATTTAGGGGAAAAGCTCAAGGCTTTACAATTAAATCTATGAACTTTCATAATTAATTAAATTTTAATGTTATTTTCTTCCTTTCAAGAAATTATGAGAATCTAATTTCTTAAATAAGGACCTCATTTATGGAATGCAACTATAACCTCGATCCTCGATCCTGATCTCTGGAACTGCTTTAAAAAGTTCCTTAAATTCCCATTAAAATGATTAAAATCCTCATGTCTAACTCATGCCTTGTAAATCAATATTTTATTAATAATATTAAAAAATATTAAATATTAAAAATATTAAATATTAAATCAATATTAAAACCTTTAAAAACATTCACGCCAAAAGGACTTCCTTAAGATGTGCTAAAAACTTGAAAAGATCGTTTTAATCCAATAAAGATAGATTTCTCAGGAAAGTACTAGGATCCCTAAGATTTTATAATCCTTAGATAGTAACTCTCTTGATGGATATTGGGATATATATAGTATCTGAAGAGTCGGCAAGCGCAGGAGCCGCGCAAGCTTGAAACTACAAGAAAACTGTACTAAAGATACAGCCGAACAACACGTTCGTACTCCACATATAGATACTCACCCATACAGGGAAAGGAAAGCCAACTATACAGGAAACGCGGACTCCAAACGGACGGAGATAGAAGTAGCAGTAGAAGCAGGAGATGGTAAAAAAAACAAAAACAAGAGATATGTTGGGGGGCATAGGGGGGCATATAGCGACTTGAAACTTAACACTTCCTTGGCTCTGGCTGTGAATTTTGAATGAAATTCCCACTTAATTCAAACAATAAAATATCCAGGAAGATGGAGACCCCCATTCATACTTAAGTAGAGTCCATTAGACATTGTATTTGTCTATAAGACTTTAGAGTTATTACAAAATATAATACTTTTAATATTGTTAGCTCTCCAGAGCTTACTTAAGATGAAGAAAAAGCTTACATATCCTTATATATATCTATATTATAATATATCTATTGTGAATATGAAATATAGTAGGTTGATCCTTATGGGATCCTTTCAGTATCTTTCAGAATTTTCGCACATGAATTTTTAAAAAAGGTCCTAAGCTTATTTCACAAAAAGCTGAAAAAATACCCTTGATTCAAAGTTTATTTCCTAATTATTTTGCATCAACATTTAAAATTAATTTTAATACTTTTAAAATCAATTAAAAGTATTAATTTAAAATAAAATTTATTTTATACTTCATATTAGAGCTCTACAATATCAGTTTTCCCCATTTTGCATGCAATACTAGTGCTTAATGCATTCTACATTCCCCCTTTTCGAATTATGTTAATATTGCTAATATTTTTAAAAATACTGAAAAATTTTTAAAGTTTTTTTTTGAATTTTTGTAGAGTTGATAGTATTTTTTTTTTTAAATTTCTTGCTAAAACGCACAAAGTGTCATCTCTATCGGAACAAAAATATCTGGCAACCCTAGACATATCGATATATCGATTGCAGGCTCTCTGCCTATATTACCAGCTCTAGAAGGCTAAATTTTAATTAAGCAAAATAAACGCAATGTTCGGCGTTTGAGTCCGTTGGAAGTAAATAGGTTTAACGTGCCATGCCGGGCAGTGCCTGAAAAGCAGTAGCCATTTTTTTGGCAAAAAAAAAACAGCAGCAGCTACAAAAAATTTCCTTGCGTGTTTGGCAAGGAAAACAGCATACACACACACACACACCAACACACACACAGAACAAAGGACGCCAGAAAAAAAAAAACAAACACAAAGAGCGCAGCTTTTCCTGAAATTGGGTCGCGCCTTTGGAGAGCTGGCTGGATTTTGTTATTGCTGTTTTTTTTTTGACTCGCTGTTGCTGTTGTTGCTTTGGCAGACACCTAAAATGTTATGGCAACTCCCCCATCGTAAGTATTTTCTCATATATGTTTTCTTTTTGTTTTTAATAAAAGCTATATGGTTTGCTATATAGTTTTTCCAAGACCCTAGTAACACGAAAGATGTACATAAGTTGTATGTATGTTGGAAGTTAATAATATTTCTTAGACTTCAATTTTAAATACATACAAAGCTATGTATAAAAGCCAGTCTTTATAGACTGCAATTAGGTTTTATTTAATATCTAAGTATATGTATATATAAAACACCCTGCATTTGATACATCATTTTCTAACAATTATTATGTTACTATTTTTAGAATAAACAACTTAAAACCCTCAAAGGATACCCAGTTTGAAGGAGTTATTTAAACCCTTCTATCCAATAAAAAAAAAACCAAAACTCCAATTCCAACTCCAGTAAAGAACGTGAATTCCAAGTCAAGATGAGCATTGTGGGCAAGAAATTAAATCCCGTTCAATCCACAAGTGCTGCAACTGCCGCCTCGTCCACCACCAACGCGTCCGGCTCTACTGGGGATAGCGGTGATGCTAACGGAAGTGGGGCCGGAACATCGGGAAACGCTGGCGCTCCTGGTGGGGGAACTGCAATGGATTCAAAGCGCCTAGGGGGTCCGGTGGGTGCGGAAGGCTGTAGCGTTAGTCCAGAGGATGTGCTGCACCTCACCACGATCACGGACGACTATCTATGCTCCGCCAATGCAAATGTGTTCGAGATTGATTTCACACGCTTCAAAATCCGCGATCTAGAGAGCGGCGCTGTACTGTTCGAGATCGCCAAGCCACCGAGTGAACAATTTCCAGACGGCCTATCCGTCGAGGAGACAATGCTAGCAGCGGCTGAGGAACTGACGCTGGAGGACACTGCCGATCCCAATGCTGGGCGTTATGTGCGCTATCAGTTTACGCCAGCATTCCTAAACCTCAAAACAGTTGGTGCCACGTAAGGATGAGTTTTAATTTTAAAGAAAATTAATTTTAAATTAATATATTCCCAGTGTGGAGTTCACCGTCGGAAGTCAACCTGTTAACAATTTCCGAATGATCGAGAGGCACTTCTTTCGAGATCGCCTGCTAAAGACGTTTGACTTTGAGTTTGGCTACTGCATTCCATACTCTAAAAACACCTGTGAGCACATCTACGAGTTTCCAAATCTACCACCCGACTTAGGTAAGCAGTTATATTCCAAAAATTAAAAAAAAATGTTTATAATATTAATTAATATATAATTTCAAGTGTCTGAAATGATATCGAGCCCCTTTGAGACGCGCTCGGACAGCTTTTACTTTGTGGAAAACAGACTAGTCATGCATAATAAAGCCGACTACGCTTACGATGGAGGGATTATAGTGTAGACTTTGAAGAAACTTTGAAGGCTTGCAAAAGTCTCAAAAATTGAAGGAAACTCATGAGGAAATGCAGGAGTCAATAACTACAACCTATGTAATCTATTGATGGACAGCGAACTAGAAAAAAAAAACTGATAAAACTTATTTAAACAAAATTTCGAAGAATGACTTATCCCACACTCGAATGCACAAGGACACTACAACACTCACAACACATAATTGAGAACGGTGTCACAGCCATTTCTTTTAGCCTTAGCACAAGACATTTATTAGCCATTCTTGTTTGGTGTATTTGGCTATGATCTAATGAAACCGTCAAAAAAGACACACACTAATCACGTGAAACTGTGTTCATTATAAATGATTTCAACTTTGACTGTATAATTTTAAGCGCAATGTAACTTTCCCTAATTTTAACATATTTGTATTTATATCGTTATTTATTCGTAAGATAAGAAATCTACGCCCTACACACTCACCTGAACACATTCGTATATGAATATACATCCAGAACTATGTATATTCACATACAAGAAATAAAAACAAAAACAAATCGTGAATATCGTTTTTAAATTTTTTTCCAAGGGGTACCCCCATAAAACTGGGTTTTCGGAATATCCCCACTTTTGCTCCTTCCGATGACCATAGCTCTGCCAATTTGTATCCGATCAGGAAATAAAGTACCATTTAGTATTCAGCGAACCCAAAAGCAACTTTCCTCATTCAAAGCGTTGCTTTAATATCGTTTTTCAATTTTTCGAATTGTTTCCTAGGGGTACCCATACAAAATTGTGGGTTTTCCTGATTTCCCCACTTTTGCTCCTTCTGATCGCCATAGCTCTGCCAATTTGTATCCGATCAGGAAATAAAGTACCATTTAGTATTCAGCGAACCCAATAGCAACTTTCCTCATTCAAAGCATTGCTTTAATATGGTTTTTCAATTTTTCGAATTTTTTCCTAAGGGTACCCATACAAAATTGTGGGTTTTCCTGATTTCCCCACTTTTGCTCCTTCCGATGGCCATAGCTCTGCCAATTTGTATCCGATCAGGAAATAAAGTACCATTTAGTATTCAGCGAACCCAAAAGCAACTTTCCTCATTCAAAGCGTTGCTTTAATATCGTTTTTCAATTTTTCGAATTTTTTCCTAGGGGTACCCATACAAAATTGTGGGTTTTCCTGATTTCCCCACTTTTGCTCCTTCCGATGGCCATAGCTCTGCCAATTTGTATCCGATCAGGAAATAAAGTACCATTTAGTATTCAGCGAACCCAAAAGCAACTCCTCATTCAAAGCATTGCTTTAGTATGGTTTTTAAATTTTTCGAATTTTTTCCTAGGGGTACCCATACAAAATTGTGGGTTTTCCTGATTTCCCCACTTTTGCTCCTTCCGATGGCCATAGCTCTGCCAATTTGTATCCGATCAGGAAATAAAGTACCATTCAGTATTCAGCGAACCCAATAGCAACTTTCCTCATTCAAAGCATTGCTTTAATATGGTTTTTAAATTTTTCGAATTTTTTCCTAGGGGTACCCATACAAAATTGTGGGTTTTCCTGATTTCCCCACTTTTGCTCCTTCCGATGGCCATAGCTCTGCCAATTTGTATCCGATCAGGAAATAAAGTACCATTCAGTATTCAGCGAACCCAATAGCAACTTTCCTCATTCAAAGCATTGCTTTAATATGGATTTTCAATTCTTCGAATTTTTTCCTAGGGGTACCCATACAAAATTGTGGGTTTTCCTGATTTCCCCACTTTTGCTCCTTCCGATGGCCATAGCTCTGCCAATTTGTATCCGATCAGGAAATAAAGTACCATTTAGTATTCAGCGAACCCTAAAGCAACTTTCCTCATTCAAAGCATTGCTTTAATATGGTTTTTCAATTTTTCGAATTTTTTCCTAGGGGTACCCATACAAAATTGTGGGTTTTCCTGATTTCCCCACTTTTGCTCCTTCCGATGGCCATAGCTCTGCCAATTTGTATCCGATCAGGAAATAAAGTACCATTTAGTATTCAGCGAACCCTAAAGCAACTTTCCTCATTCAAAGCATTGCTTTAATATGGTTTTTCAATTTTTCGAATTTTTTCCTAGGGGTACCCATACAAAATTGTGGGTTTTCCTGATTTCCCCACTTTTGCTCCTTCCGATGGCCATAGCGCTGCCAATTTGTATCCGATCAGGAAATAAAGTACCATTCAGTATTCAGCGAACCCAAATGCAACTTTCCTCATTCAAAGCGTTGTTTTAATATCGTTTTTCAATTTTTCGAATTTTTTCCTAGGGGTACCCATACAAAATTGTGGGTTTTCCTGATTTCCCCACTTTTGCTCCTTCCGATGGCCATAGCTCTGCCAATTTGTATCCGATCAGGAAATAAAGTACCATTCAGTATTCAGCGAACCCAAAAGCAACTTTCCTCATTCAAAGCGTTGCTTTAATATGGTTTTTCAATTTTTCGAATTTTTTCCTAGGGGTACCCATACAAAATTGTGGGTTTTCCTGATTTCCCCACTTTTGCTCCTTCTGATCGCCATAGCTCTGCCAATTTGTATCCGATCAGGAAATAAAGTACCATTTAGTATTCAGCGAACCCAATAGCAACTTTCCTCATTCAAAGCATTGCTTTAATATGGTTTTTCAATTTTTCGAATTTTTTCCTAGGGGTACCCATACAAAATTGTGGGTTTTCCTGATTTCCCCACTTTTGCTCCTTCCGATGGCCATAGCTCTGCCAATTTGTATCCGATCAGGAAATAAAGTACCATTCAGTATTCAGCGAACCCAAAAGCAACTTTCCTCATTCAAAGCGTTGCTTTAATATCGTTTTTCAATTTTTCGAATTTTTTCCTAGGGGTACCCATACAAAATTGTGGGTTTTCCTGATTTCCCCACTTTTGCTCCTTCTGATCGCCATAGCTCTGCCAATTTGTATCCGATCAGGAAATAAAGTACCATTTAGTATTCAGCGAACCCAATAGCAACTTTCCTCATTCAAAGCATTGCTTTAATATGGTTTTTCAATTTTTCGAATTTTTTCCTAGGGGTACCCATACAAAATTGTGGGTTTTCCTGATTTCCCCACTTTTGCTCCTTCCGATGGCCATAGCTCTGCCAATTTGTATCCGATCAGGAAATAAAGTACCATTTAGTATTCAACGAACCCAATAGCAACTTTCCTCATTCAAAGCATTGCTTTAATATGGTTTTTCAATTTTTCGAATTTTTTCCTAGGGGTACCCATACAAAATTGTGGGTTTTCCTGATTTCCCCACTTTTGCTCCTTCCGATGGCCATAGCTCTGCGAATTTGTATCCGATCAGGAAATAAAGTACCATTTAGTATTCAGCGAACCCAAAAGCAACTTTCCTCATTCAAAGCATTGCTTTAGTATGGTTTTTAAATTTTTCGAATTTTTTCCTAGGGGTACCCATACAAAATTGTGGGTTTTCCTGATTTCCCCACTTTTGCTCCTTCCGATGGCCATAGCTCTGCCAATTTGTATCCGATCAGGAAATAAAGTACCATTCAGTATTCAGCGAACCCAAAAGCAACTTTCCTCATTCAAAGCATTGCTTTAATATGGTTTTTCAATTTTTCGAATTTTTTCCTATTTTCCTAACCCACAATACAAAATTGTGGGTTTTCCTGATTTCCCCACTTTTGCTCCTTCCGATGGCCATAGCTCTGCCAATTTGTATCCGATCAGGAAATAAAGTACCATTTAGTACTCAGCGAACCCAAAAGCAACTTTCCTGATTTAAAGCATTGCTTTAATATCGTTTTTAAATTTTTCGAATTTTTTCCTAGGGGTACCCATACAAAATTGTGGGTTTTCCTGATTTCCCCACTTTTGCTCCTTCCGATGGCCATAGCTCTGCCAATTTGTATCCGATCAGGAAATAAAGTACCATTTAGTATTCAGCGAACCCAAAAGCAACTTTCCTCATTCAAAACATTGCTTTAATATGGTTTTTCAATTTTTCGAATTTTTTCCTAGGGGTACCCATACAAAATTGTGGGTTTTCCTGATTTCCCCACTTTTGCTCCTTCCGATGGCCATAGCTCTGCCAATTTGTATCCGATCAGGAAATAAAGTACCATTTAGTATTCAGCGAACCCAAAAGCAACTTTCCTCATTCAAAGCATTGCTTTAATATGGCTTTTCAATTTTTCGAATTTTTTCCTAGGGGTACCCATACAAAAGTCTGGGTTTTCCTGATTTCCCCACTTTTGCTCCTTCCGATGGCCATAGCTCTGCCAATTTGTATCCGATCAGGAAATAAAGTACCATTTAGTAATCAGCAAACCCAAAAGCAACTTTCCTCATTCAAAACATTGCTTAAATATCGTTTTTAAAATTTTCGAATTTTTTCCAACAAAGTTTTGTTTATATATCGATCATTTTCCAACCGATCGGGAAGCAAAGTACGATTACCGAATCAGGACGCCATTGTCTTTCGAACTTCATTATAGAATCCTCGTAAAATCCTGATCCACATCGTAAATGGCGATGCTGATCCTTTTCTAAAATATGATAGCCGTTCGAAATGTTGTTGTTGGATTTCGAAAATCCTTTGATGCAGATCGAAGAATGTTTATGTCCTGATTCCAAAATTATATTCCATTATAAGATCGGTTTAAAAAGGATCGAGATATAAACAAACCAATTTATGGAAATGAATTTCCAAGCCAAAATATCTGTATCATTCGATTTTAACTTGGCCAATACCAGATTTTGATAGCCAAATGGACGGGTCGTATTTTTCTGCATTTTATGACATCCCACAATCCGGGCTTAGATGCTAAATGGCCGAGTTATTCCCAAAAAACAGTTTAAAAAAATGGAATCCACCTTTTCCAAAAAAGCTTGGGCGGGCGGGAACTTTTTTGAATTTAAATTTAAATAAAACGGATCGTATTTTGGATCCACAGGCGCGGCGGGAAACCTATTTTTTGAATTTGAATTTGAATTTAACGGATTTCGATCAACTTACAATCCACATATGTCCCACATAGGATCCACACAGGTCCCACATAAATTCCACACCTGCCCCACATGGGATCCACACAGGTCCCACATAAGTTCCACATACCGCCAAAGACACAAACCGGTTCAGCCAAGACACCAACCAGTGGATCAAAGTTCAAACCGTGACGTCACGGGCTTTCGAGGCTGAAAATTTTTCAGTTTCCGGCCGCTACCAGGCGCGGAGTACCAGGCGAACAGAAACAGGTAGTAGGTGGATTCTATTTTTTGAAACAGTTTTTTGTGAATAACTCGGCCATTTAGCATCTAAGCCCGGATTGTGGGATGTCATAAAATGCAGAAAAATACGGCCCATCTAACTGGCCAACAACATCTGGTATTGGCCAAGTTAACACGGATTGGTAAAGAAATTTGGCATAGAAATATATTTCTATAAATGGATTTGCTTATATCTCGGGACTTTTCCAACCGATCTTAAAATGGAATATTATTTTGGAATCAGGACATGAACATCCTTCGATCTGCATCGAAGGATTTTCGAAATCCAACAACAATATGTCGAG